CGTGGTATGAGAGTAACAGAAAATGATTTACAACAATATCAGTTGAATCAACATATATTAAATCGTTCATTTTTATCAGCATCCGTTGAACGTCAAGTAGCAGAAATGTTTGCTGGTGAAGGACAACAGTTGAAAATGAGGCAAACAATTGATCATCGACCAATACAATTTTCATGTTTATGTCAATATTTGGTAAAACAAAAATCAACATGTTTAAATATTCAGCATTTATCAATGAGACCAGAAGAAAAAGAAGTTTTAATTCTCCCTTTTACGGTTTTTAAGATTATTAAAAAAAAGACAAATTATCTTGAAGATCCAGCATCATCAATTTCAGTTGAAATTGAATTAGAAGAATGTGAAGATAATAATGATGACAATGACAAAAAAGAAGAGACATGTAAAAGAGAAGATGAAAGTAAAGAGTGTTCATCTTGTGAAAAGAATTCTTGATTGCAGTCCTATGGATAAGGATGAGAGAAGCTAGTGTTTTTCTGTTCCGATTGTTGTTCCGGTGTGTGGTAAATAAAATAGCTCTAGATCCCGTCCCGGTCGACTTTCGTGGAATCGGAATCGCTCCTGATTCAAAAATTTCAACATGGAGGATCGGAATTCAGAGCTACAAATGATTCCCCTTCTTTTTTCTTTGGCACCGAAGGGAACTATTCACAACTTCCCCTTTTTCTTTGTCGTATGTTTTCTAGGTCCTTCGACGAGAACATCTTCATTTACGTCTGATATTACAAGTGACTTTGAAAAAAATCCAAAATCCAAAAAACGAAAATGTTTCTTTACTGCTATTGGCTTTTTATTATTAATTTTTGTGGTTGCCTTAGGTCTTGGATTAATTTTTATTTTTGTAATTAAAAATGGCTCTAGTGGTCCTGTACGTATGACAACATTTCCACCACAAATAGATGATGAAGGTATGCAGTGACTAATAGGAAAGAAGTTACTACAATAAACGCCTACTCACTATCATGCGAGGGCGTGGAGAGGTTTGCGAGCGGAAGGGTCAAAATTGCTGCGCCTTAAAGTTTTACGAGGAGGCGAATACTTCTTTTTGGTGTCGAACCGTCCAATATGCTTTGCAGTATGCAGCTTTTGTCGCTGATTCTGAAAAACACGATCCGATGGTTCCAGAGCCTTGTGGAGCTGAGATATTGCGAAAGTTTCAAAAAAGCTGTGATTTTTCGAAAAAACGACAACTTTCAATTTTTCCATTTTTTTTTCGCTCAATACGAAAATTTTTAAAGTAAGACATCAGCGGAAAATTCTGCATCGAATGATGTATGTTTGAGCCGCACACTGAAATGTCGCTGTAACTCTGAATTGGGGCGCCTTACAACAGCTGTATTTTTATAATGAATCAATGTTCAGAGCCGAGACACCTTTCATTTTGTAGAGAAATGTTTAATCCCATTAAATATCTAGTTGCCATTTTAGAATGCTTTGTAGTTGTAATGTTAATTGCAATAACGTTCTGAAAAAGAGCAAAAAATGGAGTCCGTTAGCCGAACAAGCCACTTGACACATACCCAGCTACATTACACTACCTACCAGGAAAAAAGAAGAACAGTGACAATACATTGATCAAAATATGCTAATTTCGTCGCAAGAACAATTTTCATGGTTCATACTCATTGATGCCACCATTTTCATAAATACCCTTTGCTTAACTGCATTTCAATTCAACTACCGATATATCGCCCCATAATCGATCTAACTAGCTATTGCTAGTTACGCATGCAGACGCATCTACTTGAAAGTCCGTTTTTCAACTAGTAATCTAGCTCACAACTAGTCGTGTACCGCCCGATTACAGGCGAAATGTATCTAGATTTTTCCGATCGGTACACGGAGAAAGAAAAACCGTGAAACTCATGACGGTTTTTATACGCGGTTTCTCGCAGTCAGTTTGGCACGGTTTTTTTCTCGGTTTTAGTTGTTCATGCTTTTGTTTCCTATGGTTCCAATATGACAGTTTTGCTTTGACGGTTTTAAAACTTTTAGAAAAA